GAACTGATCAAACAGTGTAACAGGAAGGTTAAGCACTTCTTCAGAAGGTTGACCAGTTTAAGTGTCTCAGCTCCATCATCTCCATCTGCGATGGCACTGTCCAACCCGAGTTAAAACAGGGCGGTATCAGTAGCCTTGAGTGCTTTTAGTAATCACTCCGGAATTTGGGTTGAGAAAGGAATAACTCGTCCCATAAAAATTCACATGTACCTTGCCTCGGCCAGGTCCGTGTTTCTGGACGACATGAAGCAGTTCTAAAGACAGAGGTTGAATTGTGCACAGCAGCGTTGGCTTCGACTCATAATCAGGGTTGAATACCGGGAAAGCGTCAGAAATGACTCTTATCTTCTGGATACAAGTAACTTCAGTGGATTTGGAGATTAATAAAAGGAAGCTGGTTCTGTCAGACAAACCGGTCAAGGTCAAGCATACACAATTTTCTTCGGACCATGAACTTCTCGTATGGGGGAGCCAAAACATGGCAGTTATCGACCACAGACCATCCTACAACACGTGGGAACAAGACAAAGGTAGATCTACTTCCGGACTGGAATATTTCCTTGCACAATGGAGAGACCGCTGTCTCAGAGCAAGAATTGAAAAGATGCAGATATAATAGACGTAGAAAACCAGAAACGTTCTGCTTATGCAAACGTATCAAGGTGATGATTTGGACGTATACAATACATTCAATGTCGCTTTTCAATAGAGTTAATCTATGCATTAGATTCGTTTCATGTTTAGACTCGAACCGTCTCAAAAATGACCAACGAATCCCAAATCCGCGACCCATTAGGAAGGTGGGTCAAACTTGGTGGACAGGTTGCCCTGTTTCGATGACGAGCTTTGATTCGTATTGCTCGATGAAAATTCATGATTTTTTGAAAACTGTCCTATTAAAGAATGTAGCACAATTGCAATGAATAATGTGGCGAAAAAAATAATTAAGTCGGAAAATAAAAGCCGAGTACGTAAGACAGAATCTCGTTTTATTATCAGCAATAAATTCGGTCAGACATTAATTTGAAGAGCATTAAAATTGAGTAATAGATATTTTTCTATTTTTCCAGGAAACGCCATAGTGCGACAAGCACGAAGCATTAGTCAAGAGCACAGAGAAAGAGAAGAGACAAGTTCACAAAGCAAGAGAAAACACAAACCAACTTCCGTCGTCGCTAACATTCGAAAAATGACAGTGATCCGCCGAATACAAGTAAAGTTGGTCTCGAGCGACGGCTTTTCAAATGTACAACACTGACAAGCAGGAAACGCTGAAACTTTCTTTACACACATCGCACAAAGACGATCCGTGATGAAGATCTGAGGACAACCAGAAGGTGGTGGCAGCGGCGGCCACACCAGGATGCCAAGGCAGGCATACACACACCTTCTTGTTGGTACAACATGAAGAAAAACAGCTTCGTAAAAAATATTCCAAGGTAGCAATATAATCAGAAACGAATGCCGGAAAAATAAAGAAACTATGTACAATTCTAAAATGCGTCATGTTTTGTGTAGACAACACCGAAAGGACATAGAAACGGCTATAAAACTATCCAAAAATTTTAAAAACAGATATTACTACCAAGAGCCAATATACACTAGTGCGGCAAACATGAAACACCGTTCGTTAGAAAATCAAAATTAAAATATTAAGGAAGAATAAGACGTAGAACAGCTGTTGAAGCAGTCAGTCAAAATACGGTACACAAAGCGTTCTTCGAAAGCGACGCACTGAGAAAACGGAGCGACGACGAGTCAACGTTGCTGCACAGCTGTTCTTTAGATTAATGTACACATCTATCTTGGTGACCGGAGGGTGACCATTTGTGCACTAACAGCGGACAAGTATTCCTCAGCAAAATTTGAGGAAAAAGGAGAAGGGCATGGAACGACGCTGATTGAAACAGTCCCACAGTCGGTCAGTGACGGGGTAGTCGCGTGGTGACTACGTCGAGATGTTCATGTGCGAGGTGACGAGGCCAGAGAAGTCGCTGAGGTCAACGGGAGCGGTGCCATCGCAGCAGGAAATCAACGAAGAGGGGGTGTTACGGCCGTTTTTCGTCGCGAAGCAGTTCTGTTCCCTGTTCGAATCCTTCGGCTGGCTTTCTCCGTCCTCCTTCGGCAAAGACGACGACGAATCAGTGGTGCGGGACTGGTCAGGCAACACCACCGATATATACCTCTCAACTTGCTTCGTGTGAAACAAGATCAGATCCTGAAATATAAGAAAAATTTTAATGACTATAAATTCGATGTACGAGGAGGTGAAAAACACGCATTACAACAGTTAGTGTCCTAACGGCTATTGCAAGGACTAATCTCTTTCCACAAAACAGGATTTACATACATACCATTTTATGTATACCATACAATACTTTAATGGCACATCATACATGACAGCTCACATGAACGATGAATACGTGACAAGTCAATAATCCAAGGTAACGATTTCGCTCTTTTCGCGATTCACTCTTTTCGGCAACTGTACGAATCAGTTTTACTTCAGTCTCCAAAATTTTATTGGACAAGCCCAATGTCAGTACTTGAATCACGCTGCCTACCGATCCTGGTTTAACGTCGCAGAAACAACGCAGCGTAATTTCGATCTGCGTTTCTGTTACTGGAATTAGCCTAAAGCTAGAGCAACTCCCCCGCACCTAACGCCGTCTAACCTGCAGATGTATTCAAGTGAGTACAACCACAATGGTACTAGTAAGTATATTCAACTGTGTACTATATAGTCTACTGCATGTAAACGTTCTATAATGCAGAGTCTGTTGTATCTATTTACTCATTTCATACCAAAGTCTACTGTATGTACTCATTTACTACATACTTCATAGCGAGTAACTCCTTATCAACATATCACTATTTTGAAAGAAAAAGAAAAGGTGAACAGAATAGTAGAGCACCAACTGCCACACAATAATTAACAGTCTCTACTGCCGCAAAATCGTCAAGTTTACCGAGTCAGCGTTCGTAATCCGCTGGAGGGTTTTCGCCACGCCCATCGTCACGTCGGGCTCGCGCAGAAGTCGATGGATGGATGCACAGAGGCAGCTGCTGGCAAGAATTGACGGTGGCAGCAACGAAAAGCTCAGTTCTGAAACATGACACACGTTATAGAGGTAGCTACACTGGCGCATTACTAGTTCACATGATTGACGCATACAGTAATACAGTATTATAATTGCACTAAACCACAATGCCACAGTATTAAGTACTAAAGTACTACGTAAACGTAGAGCATATCACGTATTAGATAACATTACTCGACAAGCACTATGCTATTATAGTCTTACGCAAACACAATATCACCGTAACTTGCTAAAATGTAGCATACTGAAACAAAATTCAGTACTTGCAACATATACTGCATATACTACATTAACTACACTGTAGCATGGTAAATTACCATAGTAATGCCGGAATATAAAACTTTTATATAACATTATGATATATTGCATATTCTCTATACTATACAAATATAACAGCCTTACTATATAGCTACAATCTTCAGTGACCAATTACTCGTTACGTATAATGAAAAAGCATGCCAGATATACTAAAACTGTCCTTATACTGGGCAACACTGGCTTACAAACACGGCATTTAGTGTGCAACGTTACAACATATACTCAATTTGCTAGATTGCAAGTATATTAATACATCGCTATATTAATTTAATACTCTACCACATATTGACTCATAGGGAAAAAGCAGCAGCGAGGTAAAAGTACCGCAAGGTATTGACTGGAGATAGCTGAACTGTCGCTATCGAAGTGGCAAGGTTTTGGAATAGTGAATGTTTGCGCGTAGAAGCCATTCTACTCAGGTGCTGATATCCCGACGCGCGCTCAGGCCTGTGTTAGTGTTCTGGCAGAACCCAACTTGGATAACAGAATCACTGAATGGAAGCATGCTAGGGGAAGAGTGGCAATCCTCCGACTGAAGCTACAAGCTAATGCGTTGACCTTGTTACACGTCCATTCGCCTAATATTGAAAAAGAACACGAGTCATTCTTTGAGGAAGTGAAAAGTACTCTGTCCAAAGTGATGTATACGGAGTGCCTCATTCCAATGGGCGATTTTAATGCGCATATGGGAGCACACACTGAAAAATGAAAAGGAGTAGCAGTGACCGCCTTGGCGACCTCGACAATAACGACTTAAGTTTTTGCGGTTTTGTGCAAACAACGGATTGTCCATTATGAACACCTTCGAGCATCGAAAAGTGCATCAGTACACCTGGTACCGAGAAGCTTGTGCACAGAAGTCGATGACCGATTTCATAATCGTATCGTCTGACCTAAGACGCTCAGTAATGGATGTTCGCGTTTAGAGAGGCGCAGAGCTATCAACCGATTATCACTTTGTTGTTTGCACGCTGCGCTGTAAGAAATGGAGTACCATACGAAGATGTGGTGGCAGAAGCAACCAGAGAACCAAACGATAAACGTGTGGAAATTTGGGGCTAATTTACGAATAACATTGCACGACAATTTCAACAGATCTTAGAGATGGGCACTAATGAGGAAACAGAGTGGAAGCGGAGTGAAACTAGGAGCAGTCTACTGGCGGCTGCAGTTTTAAATGGGTTGGTCTGTCACTTGGCGATCAAAAAAGAACTTCCTTGTGGGCAGCAAAGGCTCAACTGGCTGCATCCAAGAAATGGCTTGGAAGCAAAGAGCCTTCAACCCGCATGCGATATTAGAAGCCCGCAAGGCGATGTCGAAAAGCAACGAAAAGTTCAAGAGAAGAATTTCGAGACAGCGAACAAGGTATTTTGGCAGACGATCCGCCGGCTCCGAGGTGAGAAGAAGGGCAGTCTAAGAATCCTGAAGGGTAAGCATGGACACCCTGTCACCGAGGATGCGGACATTCTTCGGCGATGCAGAGAGTATTTTCAGGAATTCATTAACCTTCCGCAACTAAAGGAAGACTCGTCTATAGAGCAACAGAGAAGAGATATTACTGTTTCCGTAAATGAAATCACACAAAGCTGTGAAAAGCTTGAAAAGCGGAAAGGCTGCTGTAATCCATGAAATAATCTCTGAAATGTTTAAAACATTAGGCGAGCGTAGCATTTATTGGCTCACACGTGTTTATCAAACTGCAGTGGCCTCGGGGAGGATACCAGCTAACTGGCGAATGAGGGTAGTAGTACCGTTGTTCAATAAGGGAGACAATAGGAAGTACTCAAATTATCGGGGCACTACCTCATTCAGTCTTGAGTAAAGACTACGCAAAGGTGCTAGAAAGGAGATGCCGCAGAATAACTGACTCCAAGATAAAAAAGAATAGCAGTTTGGCTTCATAAGAGGCTGGCGAATATCTGACCAGATGTGCTTTGCGGACCTAAAGAAAATCTTCTACCAGATCCAAGGTAACAATCTATCGCTGTGCCTGCGGGCATATGTGATTGATGGCCAGGTGCCACGGGACATCAAATCACCATATGCTCACAGTCGGTGCTGCGTCAGAATAAATAGCGATATATCGAAACCTTTCAGCGTTAGCACTGGACTCCGCCAAGGCTGCGTTCTGTCACATCTCCTGTTTGCGTTGTACATGGATAGAATAATCAGGTCAACCAAAGCGATGAGTATATCAGCGTAAGAGATGTCGAGACGAGAAGGCTGGTGTTTGCATACGACCTTGTTTTATTGGCACCTTCTGAAACTGATGTACAGTGCTTCCTAGAAAGGTTCGTAGCTGAGCGCGTCTAAAACGAAAACCCTAGTGCTTCCTCGTTCTCCTGCCCGTTGCTCTCTGCACATTAACGGAGAGGCAGTAAAGCAGGTGAAGAAGTTCAAGTACGTCGTAACTGTATTTACTAGTGATGGAAAATTGGAGGAAGAGATCGGCCGGCGAATTGGAGTAGCCGTGGCGTTCTGCGCGAACAAGCCCGACCCAATGTGACTAAAGCAGAGCTCAGCTTATAAACTGAGCTCTCAATATTCAAGTCGATCTTTATCCCCGTACTTACCTACGGTCATGAATCGTGGACCATCACTGA